TGTAAAACATAAAAGTTCATGAGAAAGAGGGGGTTTCACACATAATACGTCTCATATTATACAGTCCCTATTAAAAGAACACCAAACATATTTATATCAAATAAATTTAGTTAAAATTCTCGAATTAACAACAATAATTGCTAAAACCTTCTCCGCGTACTATGCTATCTATGAAGGTTGTGGTTTCTATAAAGTTGTAACCTTAGACAATCCAATTAAGGCGCACTTCCAAATTTCATCATAAACATGAAATTTTGTTTAAAAAATTATTAAGATTATCTGAAACTCTATTTTTATGTCTAATTATAAAATTTTAAACTCTAAAAATGGTTAAAAACAAGTAGATCTATTAACATTTGAAAATCTTGAAAATGGACAGTCTAGATAATATATTAGTAGATGCACTCTATTTGGGACTCAAATTTTTTTTATTTTTTTTCATATTCATACGTCTAGATGTTTAGATGATCAATTGGAGGGTTTTCAACATTAAAAAATATTTTCCGATAGATTTTTGAAATACATTTGTAATTCTACATTTTAAAGTTGCATGCAACGTTTTCTATCAAAAAAACAAAAAAAACAAAAAGTTGCATGCAACCTTATATAAACTTTTTCCATCTATGTATGCATTAGATAATTTTCTTAAGCATGGAAAAATCAAATTCACTAAATTCGATAATCAAAAGTCAAAACACGTGCGGAGCATATGTACCTGCCATGTGATGTGAAACGGGGATTTAATTTCAGAAGTCCTCCTTGCCCTCGACTTGGACAAATGGGTCGAGTGCTGTGCCGTGCCGTGCCGTGACGTGACGTGAGTGTTTACCAACGGCAACACCGACTTCAACGCGATCGACGGCCCCAAATACTCCAAATGCCCCCTTCAACGCGATCGACGGCTCCAAATGCTCAATATTCCACATCCACACCATTGAGATTCCCCCTCCACTCTCCAAGTCGTTCATTTGTCAACGTCATTCTTTAAGATGGACGTGGTAAAATACTCGTAGGGCTCATATGGTGAAGAATTTTTATGAAAAGACTTACATTTTAAATGTCAAAAAATTTATTTATTTCCAAGTTCATGACGTGATCGACGGACCCAAATACTCCAAAAGCCCCTTCGACTCGATTAACGGCCCCAAATACTCAATATTCCACATCCACACCATCGAGATTCCTTCTCCACTTGCCAAGAAGGAAAGGCCGTTTATGAGTCAATGTCCATCTTACTCTAGAAATTTTTTCTAAAAAACTTATATTTTAAATATCAATTTTTTATTTTTATTTCATGTTCATAATCATCTTAATCTTGATCATTAATCTCTAAAATTATAGATTAAAATTATATTTTTAAAATGATTTAATGGGGGGCCCGCATATGTACAAAATGAGTCAGCTGACTCGTAGAAACCCCATCCCTCCTAGAATGCAGTGGCCCCATGTGATGCTATGCTTCTTCAATAAAACAGTTTTCCTTTTGTTATCAGGGTCCACAGATCCACTTGAGGAAAAAGTTTATGTAGGCTTGCATTCTTACGGTGCATCTAAAAACTTTAGTAAAAAAAAATGAATTTCCAAGTTGGACAACCTTTCAATTGATCATTACGACTTCAATATATATAGATATAAAGAAAAAAAGAATATCAACTCTAAAAATTAGTGTACCTAGTAACATGTTTTTTGGACCATCAATATTTTCAAGATTTTCAACTATTTATAAATGGACCTGGTTTCTATACGGCCATGCCCGCATATATAGAAATGTGAGCCTCTTAATAAATCTATTTTTAAGATAGATTTTAAAACTTAATTTTTAAGGACATGTAATCTCTAACATGGAGATCATGAATACGAAAAAATAAATAAAATTTTAAAAACTAGAAATAATAATTCTAGTAAAAAAACATTTGGACCGTTAGTTTCTATTATTTTTAGATGGAACACCTACTTGTATCCATCTTTAACACCACAATTTGGGTGGTTTGACAATGGGAACCTCATACCGGTTGCCAACTGTCCCAAAACATAAGACACAGCAGAGACAATCGAAAAAACCAAAAAAAATAATAACATTAAAACAGGTGTAGGGATTATGGGAAAATTTAAAAAACTCTACAACAAACGATATTTCTCATAATTTTTTACCAAAATTAACCCATTTTATATTTATTTCATTTATTTTATGTCCGTACACAAATTGCTCTTTTCTTCTTCTTTTTTACGTACATTATTTTCACACTAATTTGGGGTAAGCCCATTCAGATCAGTGGCGAGAGTTAGTAGGCATCTGATTCTTGTCTTAAAAATTGTGGGAACAAATCATGTGTTCCCAATTTCTTTATCTAAAAAACTGCCAGATAATTGGTGGGGATCCGATTCTTGAGAACTTTGTTATGCAGCTTTTGGACTAGTTTATTTTGTATCTATGCACCCGAATTCCTGATTGACCTGGCGATACAGGGTCAGATTTCGACTTTCCAAACGCTAATTTAAACAGACAGGGTAATGACGCCTAGTAAATTTAAACACATTCAATACAATGACATATACCTTATCTCTGTAAGTGTAGTCTCAAATAAACTCTTGGATTCATGAAAGCTCATGAACCTCCTCTTAACTTAAAAGCCTGGATTCATGGAAAGCTCATCGACCCCTCAAGGATGTTTAACCATTTCTTACCTTTTCATTTTCTTACCTACTTGTGGGGTTCATGAGATGACGGACAACAAGATGCGATCAAGAAGAGGTTTTTTCTCTAGTATTTGGATGGCATGGTTACTTGAAAAACATCAAAAGGATAAATGTTATAATTGGAACATTGAAAAAATGTTGCTTTTAACTCGAAGGAGATCTGTAAACTTTCCATAAAATCTAGACTTAATTGGAACATTGAAAAAATGTTGCTTTCAACTCGAAGGATATCTGTAAACTTTCCATAAATCTCGACTTTATTTGAGGTGAAGTGATGTCATGTCACCCCCTTATTTGAGATGAAAATTATGAATAGGAAGGTACACGTCTTTTTCCCTACAATTAGACACGTACACAACTTGCACAAAGGGTATGGTTTGCATAAGGCATCAACCTTACACAATTCCAGTAAGTGCACCTCTCCAAAAAAAAAAAAAAAAACGGAAGTGCCAAAAATTTCAAGAATAACCTAAAAATTTATTTAACATCTAATTATGAAATTTAAAAAAACTAAACAAATGGTCCACCTCAAACAAAATTACGCACTTCGGAAAAAAAAATATCATCCACAAACACACATACGGTTCCCCATTTCAATACACCACACCATTCCATTGCATACCAAACCAACCATCATTCTAAAAGTGCCATGTTTCACCTTCATAAGCAAGACATTCTTCATATCGCTTGTCTATTTTTTGGGTTCATAGCATTTCTCTATTCTTGAGATTCATCGTTTCATAAACACACTCCTCTATTTTTTGGGTTCATAGCATTTCTCTATTTTTGAGGTTCATAGTTTCACCATCATCAAACCCAGCATCATACCGATAGCATTTCTATATTTTTTAGATCCATAGTACATTTCTCTATTTTTGAGGTTCATAGCTTCATAAACGCTGAAAGCCAAGTAAATCCTAATCCTACTGTCCCGTCCCATTTACAAGAGAAATTCATGTTTCCATCTCAAACTCAAAAATCAAAACCACCACCATCATCAAACCCTGTATCATACATATAACATTTCTAGGTTCATAGAATTTCTATTTTTGAGTTTCATAGCTTCATAACATATCTAAGTTCGTACCATTTCTATTTTTGAGTTTCATAGCTTCATAAACACTGAAAGCAAAGCACAGGAAAAACAAGAAAACAGAAGAAATCAAATCCCAATCCTCTACTGTCCCATTTACAAGAGAAATTCATGCTTCCCTCACAAACTCAAAAATCAAAACCACCTCCATCATCAAACCCGCCATCATAAGAGCCTGCATCACTGATCATATCCCCAACCAACAGCCCACCAAGCAACCCTGCTCCGAGTCCAAGCCCTAATCCCCCCATCCCACTCTTCTTCGGCTTTTGGGGCTGCTGATAATAAACTGGAGGTGCCCCTTGTGGTGGATACCCGTACTGCCCTGCAGGAGGATAACCCGCCTGTGGATAGCCGCCAGCAGCAGGATAGTAATTCGCTGGTGGGGCTGGAGGGTAACCATAATTCTGTGGAGGCGGTGGATAAGCAGCATTGGCAGGATACGCCATCACAGGCTCCTCAGCCTTCCTCTGAGGAGGATAAGAAGAAGACGATGAAGAAGAGTTTGGAGGAGGATAAGGGGATGACTCAGCTTTTGCTGCAGGCGGATATGCAGTGCCTGCCACTGGATATCCATTCCCGGCGACTGGATAGCCGCTTCCGGCAGGTGCATAGCCGGCATTGGGCGTCGTCGTCATCTTGGGGTGAAACATGTAAGAGAAGGTTAAGCTTCCTTTCGGTTTCCCTGATGGTTTCAGAACTTGGTAAGTAACAGTTTTAGCAGTGTTCTGTTCGCCGGAAAACAGCTCTTTAAGGGGGATTTTGACTTCACCAACATCTTTGTCCCCGAGTGCCTTTTCAGCTCGGATGGTGACCTGGAGGGCGGCGTGGCCCTGCTGGATTGCGGCCTCAGGGACAGAAAATTTTACCGGAAAGTTCCAGGACGGGTTGCGATCGCCGGAGTGGTCAATTGTGGTGCGATGCTTGGTGCGAGGGTCAGTGCTCAGATATGCAACAGCGTATACTTCCATCTTTCCGAAGAACGAGACATCTTTGAGGTCCTTTGCAGAGACTAGGGTTACGTCTAGGTGTCTGTACTCCATAGTTTCTGCAAGGAGAGAGCAAACAAGAAGTTGGGGGAAGCTAAGGTTTGATATAAACTACTGGTGTATGGTTCCGATAAACTAGCGGTTCAAAAAAAAGGGGGAAAAAGAAGAAGCTTAAATCAAACGCATGGCGCGTGTGAAAAAAAATCAGAATGGACGAGGAGATCATACTTTTCTCTACTGTGATCTAACTTGCCATGGTCATGGCCTGAATTCCAATTAAAAATAAAAATTTACAGAAAAATTAAAGATGATTCTAGTCTTTCAAATATGCTATGGCCATGGCTTTGCTTTCAGATAAAAATTGGAATAATTTTGCACAAAAATACATAATGATCCTAATTTTCTCTGACATGGCCATGGTTCAGTTCTCTTCTTGCATGCTATGGGCATCGCCTTAATTACAAATCACAAGAGAATTAAAATACAGAACAAAATGAAAGAAAACCCTAACCTGCTTTCTTTCTCCTTTGTTGCAGGTTCAACAAGCAATCAGATACCTGAAAAGTTCTCCTGTAAATCTCAGGGCCACACGAAAACCTAATTCAAAAGAAGAAACTTGAATTTCCCGAGCAATTTAACCTAGATCAAGGGAGAAACAGAAAAATTTGGGGAAAAAAACAGAGATCTGATCGTCTTACGTCAAAAGAAACAGAGATATTTGAGGGAAAACTCAAAATATGAAGAATAAACGAAATCAAAGAACGAAAGAATGAAAAAATTTGCAGGAACGTAAGAGATGGAGGAGGAAGATCGGTTTATATATACCTTGTTGCAGATGGCTTCTCTGAAGCTTCGTTTCGGAGGATATTGATCGAAGCAAGGAAGAAACGCCGTCAAGTGAGCGCGTTTGATTCTTTTGTTCGGTTTTATACGCGCAAACGATGTACATCTATTCGACCACTCATGCGGGAGTAGATTGTTCATTTACGCCGTCTGCCATTAGTAATAATAAAAAAAGGTGTAACTTCTTTAACGTCTAGACTAAATAGAAAAAAAAACATAAATGATTTATACATTTGTAACCTTATAGAAGGATAGGATGAGGCATCTATGATTAAGCTAACTCATGTGCATATGTGCATCTCATCTCTAAATTCATCCTAAAACTTTTTTTTTTTTTCTAAATTTTTTGGGATTCATGATCTAGGCGAAGATGATGAATATGAAAAAATAAAATTTTCAAAATTTAAAATATGTCATTTTATATGAAGTATTTTTGGTACCGTCGAATTGATATTTTTGTCTAGAGAAATATGTATGTAGAAAGTCAGCGGGCGCAAGAGCCTGCTCACTCGTATAAAACTTTTCCATAAATATGTATTTACATAAGGTTGCAACTTTAAACAATCAAAGTAAGGAGCACCTCCAAACTTTTTCATGAGATGTAATTTTGGTATTAAAAATTCTTAAGATGTACTAGGAATACATATTCATCTTTAATTATAAAATTTCAAACTTGAAAATAGTTCAATTCAAACAAATCTATAAACAAAAGAAAATCTTGAAAATGGACGGTTCAGATAATATGTTGCAAGATGCATTATTTTTTGGATGATTTTATTTATTTATTTCTATATATCTCGATGTCCAAAAGATTAATTAGAGGGTTTTCGATGGATTTTTGAGGTGCACCTTAATTCTACAGTTTAAAGTTGTAACCTTTTATAAACTTTTTTTTCCCATATAAAAATAAATTTACAGAACTCTAATTTAACTAGATAATGTAGATATAATACTATCTTTAAAAATTATAATATATTTTTGTGTGACAAATCTACACCACCAAATGGATGATATAGAGACTTGCAGCCGTATTGTACACCACCAAAGGTTGCAACTTTATACAAAACGCACCCCATAAAAATTCTAAATTGTACTATTCATGTACTTGAAAAGAATAATCTCTTAAGATTGAATTAGGACCGTTCAAATTGTGGAGAGTGAGATCTAAGAGCCAGAAAATTTACAATTTAATTTTTTATTTTCAAAACAATCATCTAATAATTTTAGGTCGTCCCAATATTTCATATTAATAAATTCTTTCATATTAGTCTTTTGGCTGAGGGAATATACATGCAACACGCTCCTGCGAGAATAACGACTGCCCAGATAAATGAGTCGTATCGGCGGCTGCGTGGCGTTTTAAAAAGCGCAAGTACCATTGCGATTTATGGATGGTCGGTTAGAATGTAACTATGGTTAAACAGGTCAACTCTCAAGTGATGTGGAAAAAAAAAAGAGTGAATTTATACTATAGTAAAAATGAAAAGAAACCTAACTTTCTATGCAACTTATACTCAATCTAAATCTTTTTTTATTTTTTTCTCAAAAAAACGTGCTTTCTATACAAATACCCCCAAGAAAAAAAATTGATTTTTTTAGATAGAAATGCCCTTCTTATACACAGAAATCAATTTGGCCAGATTTGATGTTGACTTTCGGAGGTCATTGCCAGAGCGTACCACCGCAGTGCCAGAGTACATAATCCATTGCTGAAGCGCACATACATAGTGCTGGAGCGCTATGACTCCAGATTACACTACCGGAGCACACTTAGTCGGAGGGCATGATCCACTGTTGGAGCGCACATAAACAGTATCAGAGTAATGTGATTTCAGAGTGTTGCACTGTCGGAGCGCACTTGCACAGTGTCGAAGCTCATCATTTACTGTCGAAACGCACATACACAGTGTAAGAGCACTGTGATTCCAGATTCCACTGCCGGAGCGCATGATCCACTATCGGAGCTCACATAGACAGTATCGGAGTGCTATGACTCCAGAGTGTTGCACTGCCGGAGTGCACTTACGGAGTGCCGGAGCGCACATCTACTCCGGAGAGCACATACACAGTGCCAGAGTGTTGTGACTCCAGATTCCACTGCCGGAGCACACTTACACAGTGTCGAAGCTCATGATTAATGCCGGAGCACACATGCCAGAACGTTGTGACTCCAGAGTGTTGTACTGCCGCAACGCACTAACACAGAGGAGAGAGAGTGGCGTGGGTAAGGTAAAAGTTAGGGAGGGTAGTTTAGGTATTTTTTAATTTTTTATTTGGTTGGGGTATTTGCATAAAAAGTGTATTTTTGAGAAAAAAAGTGAAAAAAAAAGATAGGTTATGGGTAAGTTGCATAGAAAGTGTAGTTTTGGGGGTTTTTTGTAATTTTCTCAATATTACATGAGGAGAATAGTTTATATATGCTCCCTCAATATAAGAATCTATTTGGGAGGGGTTTTTTTTTTCAATTTTGTGAACCACCTTAGAATCATTATTCTCAAAAGAAAGAATTTAAATTTGACTTCTCTAACACTTAGATTTCATCATTTTAAAATTGGACACTCTATTCAATCTTGAGACATTATCTTTTTCAGTATATAGATGGTTCAATGTGGAATTTCTCTAAACTGAAGAGATTATATCCCCATAATTTGGGGTCTTAAAATAGATAGGTTTTATCGAAGGGAGTAAATGAACATTATACTCCTAAGGGAGTATAATATCTTTTGGCAAACAAGAAATCCGTTGGATAGAAGAGAGTTTTCGGACAATGGGCAACCTCTAATTTTATCTTCTAGTCATCGAGATGTATGGATATGAATACAAAAAAAATTAAATTCTAAAAAATAGTGTCTTGTAACATATTATCTGCATCATTTATTTTCAATTTTTCTAAATATTTATAGATCTACTCTATCAATGTCAATTCTGAAATTTCAAATTTCATAACTAGGGATAAAAATAGAATTTCAAACCATCATAACACTTGTGATATCAGAACTACATCGCCCAACAATATTTGGAGGTGCATCTTATCTCTATACTATAAAGAGGGTATCTTATACAAACATCGCTATTGAATCTTCTTTTTTTTTCTTTTTCTTTTTAAATTTTTAAGCTCATCTTTTGTTTTTATAGATCCCCGCCTCATAAACCCCTTTCTTAGTTTTTATTTATCTCATATATTTTTTAACTTTTGGATCACCAATTCGGACCTAGACTCCAAGCAGATTGTCGATCTAGCGATTTGACATTGATCTGTCGGTAAACGATTCATCCCTCCAAGCCAGATTTTGAAACACTCTATAAACCAAAATTGCTATCAAATTCCATTTTGTTATTTGGATCAAGTTGTCTTCCAATACTTGAGACCACTGATTTAAGACTTGGAATCGGGTCTAGAACCATCCATATGGTGAACCGATCCTGATTATCCAGATCGGCAACTCTCCACTCTCAATAAATTCTTGTAAATTTCATCATAGTGATCTTCTTTCACAAACTTAAATAAAACCATTTTTAATTTTACGACTTCTTCTTATCACATCATTTTGAGATGGCTCACTGCCACCTTAATGTTGAGATGGATCACTGCCACCTTAATGATTTTAAGGTGGTTTGGCCATTTCAGTGATGTTTTCTCATGTGAAAACTAATGGCAAACATTTGTGATTAGAATTAAATTTTATAACCTGCTAGCCCAAAAAATCAAGATATTAAGTCCTTTCTAACTCACTAAAATTAAAGCAAGAGAGAATTGGAAGGCCATCAAAAAAGCCTTGTCAAATTTAGCTGTCACTGATTATAGAACCACCAATATCAATTTGCAGAAGAAAAAATCTTCCATCCCAAAATTCCAATTCAAATCCTATTTCCACACTAATCTCTTGCCTCATCACTTCTAAAAAAACTGGAGAGGGCAATGGACCATCTTTTGGGGTGGCAACATATTTTCTGCATTACAAATATTACACATCATCATCGTCGTCAAAACTTTTTTCCAACTAATTGGGATAGGCATTACAAATATTGCAGATAAGAAACTAGGAAGCCCTTTCCATCAGTCTCAGAAACCAGCGTCAACAAAGAGGTAAAAGAGAAGCTACATTTCCTCCAAAAACAGCATTTCCAAACAAAATCACCCACATCAAAATGCCCTTACATCTTACCAAAACAACATAACACTGTAAGGGACCATCAAAGCGCATCTTCAAGATCAAGACCACTCCAAATAAAAGCTTTGAACATGCCAGCACCTTCTTGACTAACACAGTAAAAGGTTTTCTGCTGTCCAGTTTTACCCAAAAACCAACCTCACAAAGAAGGCCTATGCAGATTTGTTTCCCTTTGGCAAAGAAGTGACTCCTTCGAATTCCTCCTTGTGTTCATCGATTCGCTCCAATTCCTTTACGTGCTTGATATTTGCTGATTGCAAGTTCTTTTCGAAGATCAGCAAGCAAAATCTCATAGCTCCATTTGGGATGACGTAACCTATATAAGGCATGAAGAAAGAAAAGGCGGCCAAACTAATATCCTTAAGTCCCTGTTGGCTTCACCAAAGCATCATCTCTTATTCCCATTGAAGGCATCATTGGAGGAATACTCACTGTGAGGTCCCCATCATGTTTAGGCCCATTAGATTTATCACCTTCAATAAACTTTTCAAAAATCATTCGCTCCAATTCCTCTTTGTGTTCATCACAGCTGATTGCAAGTGCATCTAGAACATTAGCAAACAAAATCTCAGAGCTCCATTTCTCATCACCTTGAAGGAGTAAAGTTGAATAGTAGAAGTCTTCCTTCATTTGATCATATTGAAAGAGGCAGGAACAAAGTTGAATTCCCACGGCTTGATGCAAGCATTGGATTGGTATTGGGATTTGGAGTTGGATTTGGGGGAACCATTCTTCTGCTATTCATTAGGAGGCCTTGGACTGATGCATGTTTCCTGTTACATGGATAAAATAGTAGTTATCTTGCTGTAGTTTCGCAAGTGAAAATGGAAAGGATGAGTAACCACACCTGCAAGTGCACTTTGAATGATTGAGTGCAAGTGATGTTACCTTAGTTGAAAGCT